AGAGAGAGAGAGAGAGAGAGAGAGAGAGAGAGAGAGAGAGAGAGAGACGAAAACATGGAGAACGCAAAATAAGTTCCGTCATGCTGAAATAGTGTTTAATTGAAGGCGAACATTGACCGTACCTCGTCTTTTTCTATTGAATTCCGTCGTGAATGAAATCCCATAGTATTGTTGCGAACTTGCTGAGCGCTGTGTTGGTTTTTGTTTTTGGACTGATGTGAAGGAGATTACGTAAACCGTAAATTGCTTCTGATTAGTGCAAAATGAAATCAATTTACAGTTGATCTTGTTTGTTGTTTTTGCAAAATATGATAGCATGGAATGTGTAGAATGCATTTTCGTGCCACTGCCGCTGACGCTGTCGCCGTCGTTCATTGTGGTCGTTGCCGCCTCCTCCTCCTCCTTCAGTTGATCCATCATTTGTTGTATGTTTTTTTTCTGCACTGCGGTCGCACATCAAACGATTTTTCATTGGCTTTCCGAGAAAAATCGAAATACAACGAATGACGAGAAGAACGAAAAAAAAACACGTTAAACGTTCTGTGTGCACACTCATTTCAATTAATCAGAAAAAAAGAAAGCGTCACTTGGGTTATTTTTGGTGCGACACACAAATTCATTGGCGAGCAAATGAGCGTTTATTTGGCGAATGCGCGAGACCAGCCACATCGAAATGACGATAAACCACAAAAAACAGATCCATTCGCCAATGTGGCTGCCAATCAAAACAAATCGACAGCACACAAACGAAATGCCAATGATCGATGGTCATTCGATTGCAGTTGATTAAATGAAAATTTTGCTAGTCGTACAACATACATTTGTGAAGTGTGGCAATGGGCTGTACTCTCTCATTTGTCTCACTCAGTCGCGCGCGATTTCGTTACGTATGTACCACAATGTGATGTGACCGGAGATGGGGGGGGAAGAAGGCAGAGAGGAGAGATCATTATATCCATTCATATGCGAAGAACAAACAATTTCATTAAAATATCAATAATTTGCATAATTGGCTGGAATGGTGTACAAGTCTACAAAGTATCAAACCTATCGTTACTTGGATTCAAGCAGAAAACCATTGACTCAACGGGCAATCGAATGACTAGTAAATTAAATCTACCATCGCAAACAATGATTTCGACGATTTGCGTGGAATGCGTAAGGTGAAATTTTATGAAAGGATGTCAATCATGAAATTGTATATCGATTGCAATTGCAATTGCGTTGCACACACGCCAAATTCCAACAAACGCGCTCACAACTTGTGTACACAAAGCAAAAGGTCATTTAAATCAATTGGATGTTGTATGTATTGTGCACGTGGCATTTTTCCCCAATTATGATAACCTCTGTCAACATGATTCGACAATGATGACGATACAAAGCAACAGTTCGTTGCACAAGAACTACACGCTGCGCTCACACTTCCGATCGCACACAACGATCGATCCCTCCGGCTAAACGAGCAAATGATCGAGAGAGACAGAGAGACATGCACACACAGATAGAGAGATAAAATGAATAAAATACTTTAAAAAAAAAGAATTTCACGAAAATATAAACAAATAAAATCCCTCCATTTGTTATTGGCCACCATAGAAATCGTTGCGATTGGCAAGCGCAAAAGAGACAACACAATGTGTTGCGCGCGTACTACGCACAATGTCGGCCTCTGATTTACAACCGAATTCAGTGTATTGGTCTCTATCTCAATGCCTGCGGGCCACATATCGATATGTGAACAACTGACTTTTTCTTTTCAGCTCGAGTTTCACTTGCACAACATCCTTGATCGCAACTTGTTTTCATCGATAAATGATGCTGTCACTTCTTTTTTGCAACAAATATATCATCGGTTTATCGACCCAAAAACGTTCACAAAAACAAACATCCCTCGCACAAAATGGAAGCAAAGCAAAGCAAAGCAAAGCAAAGCAATAAACATCCTTCTATTTCTTGATACAAACAACGTTCGAATCGTTTGAACACAATGCAGATTCAACCTTCAATTCTTTTTTTGTATATTCAGGATAATGCTCTCGACAGATATGAAATACTCTAAACATGTTGATATGCAACCGCGTTTTTATTTTGCTTCGTAGAAAAAAAATCAATTTGGGTTTGATGTGGTCGAGCTGCGTTTCGAAAATCGAATCTTAGTTGTTGTCATTATCAAGTAATACGGCAATCAGTCATTTTTAATCGGTTGACTATGATAACGAATGACAATGTTACGCACTTAGTGTCTTTATCACGGCTTGGAATAGGAAATTCGTCCAATCTCGTTTGAATCCAATGGAAAAAACGCAAAATCGATACGGAAACATGTGACTCGCAATGATTTGATTGTGGCGATCTTTGTAAGATTGACGAGATTGAGATTTAGACGTTTTTTTTTCTTCTGTCTAATTTTTCTCCAAAAGAATGTTTCATCGTTTATTTGAATACTCTCAAATTCATATAGAGCATTTTCGATGTAAAAGTGGATGATTTGTGTCAATAAACCCATAAATGAACTAATAAAACGTTATGATACATCCCATTCCAACGATTTTGTACGATACAAAATCGCAAAATTTGCTTACTGAATCCAATTTTCGTATTTCATCGAAAGAAACATCGAAAATGTGACCAAAAACAGGAGAAAAAGAAAATGAATGAAGGAGAAAGAGCGGGGGAAAAAACTAGAAATAAAACAAATTTTCGAAAATGATGGAACTTGTTCATCAGCTTTCAAGTGGAGTATCATATGGTATAGCATAAATTCAGGCGGGATTTGGCGCCGTTTCTTTCAACTGTCAAATCACTATGTTGTCAAACACCAGTTAACGCGGCTAATCAAAAACCATACACACACTGTGTTGTTTGCACGCATCAATCGCACCCGAAATTCAGTTTAACTTTCTTACTCGTAGATAAAACAGTGTTGCTCTGTCATGTTGTTCTTTGTTGATTCCAATCATATTCATTTGCTGCCGAAAATCATTATTGTTGTCACTTGCTTCTGAAACACGTCTTGAATAAATAGAGAGAAAAAAAATATCCGTGCACGATGTCAGGAGATATTAACCAGTTTGTAAATTTTTCGCCGAATGATTACATTGAGAATGCTGATTTGATTAGGGATGCAAATCAAGCGAATGATCGGAAAATGCGTCAATTGTTTGCGGATTTATTGGCGAAAACGGAAGAAATTAACAATCGTTTGCTGGTGTCCGAAGCAAAGGTCGATTCGTTGAAAACGGTGGTGGCCAAACAAATTCACGAAATAAATTGGTTGCACCGCAAACTGAACGATGTGTCGAGGAAGTGTCACATGGCTGAGTTGATGGCACAAGTGAACGCGAACAAGTACAATCGTTTGCACGGCAAATTGAAGGGGATTATCTTGGAATCAGCGTGCGAATCAGGTGCCGATGGCGAAGGAGCCGTGTAATACACAAATTGAATTGTGGGTTAGAATTAAGAAGAACAAGACGAAGAAGAAAAAGTGAGAGAAGAAACAGTGAACAAAGTTACTTATTGCATTGACATTTGTTTAGTATTGGTGCGCACACAGCAATCGATTGTTTATCTGAAATGAAGTGAAAACACAGCCAAACTCCGTTATTGCTTACGCGCAGATATTTATTCAATACACACATAATATTTATACACTTTACCGATGAAATATTTTGCACTTGTGTTAGTGTAAATGACTGACATTTGCACACGACTCAAATCAAACGCGCAGATTCAGCTCGATGTGTGTATCCGAGAGATGGAAAAATAGAATTTAGAAAGTAAAAAACAAAAATTAACAAAAAGTGTTCTCTTTGTATTGTTGAAGTAGTTTTTTGCCATTAAAAACATTCTTTTCATATTTGAATACCGTTTGAAATTGTATAAGAAAATGGCATCAGCGAACAATTCGCAATCGTTTACAATATATGAGTGCCATTATTGCAACGCCATCCCAAATGAACATCAAATCAATCGATGCTCTCGTGGTCATATCGTTTGTTTGAAATGCGACGCAAAATATGGACGATGCAAGGTAATATTTTCAATTTATTTCATTTTTTACGATGAACAGGGCAGGGCGAACATTCAATATAGTGAGAGTTAATTCGCGTTCAATTTTTTTCACTCTCAAATGAACCGTTGCGACAAACAAATTCCCTCAGAACGTTTTAGTTTCAAAGTGAAACATGAAATTTTTTTTTATATAGAGTTTACAACAACAACTCCATATGAAAAATACTTTATGTTGCACTTTAAAACTAAAATATTCTGAGGGAATTTGTTTGTCGCAATGGTTCAAATATCGATAGAAACCACTTACAAAAAAAAAATTTAATGAACAAACTCCGATATTTTCGATATTTTCGATATTTTCAAGACGATTTCCATTCAATCCGATAATATGACAACTCAATGTGAAAAAATGATTGCGTGCGACTATTGAAGCATGAAATGTCACTCTTTCATACTCCATTTTTTTCTCCCGTTTAGTGTATGTCGGAAACTTTGGTAAAAGTACCAAATCCGCTCTTGAAAATCGTCGAATCAACCAAAAAGGGATGCCAGTATAAAGACGATGGGTGCACTTGGATTATTTCGGAACGAGCTGACACAGATGATCATCATGCTGAATGCAAATTTCGACCAAGTCGATGCATTGGTGCTCAGTTAGGTGTTTGGATGTAAGTTGTCAACCATTTGCAATACGTTTTTGTGGCGATTTTTATTTGAATTTTCGTTTTTCAAATTGAATGCAGGTTGCATTCAGAATTGGTTTCTTTTTTTTTGCATGTTATATATCGAGTCTTGCAATGATCGATTCTTGACGATTTAATTTTTTTTCTTCTCTAGTTGCGATTGGACAGGTCTCCAAGTTGAGTTTCCCAGCCACATGAAAGAGCATCATTCGACTAACGGTGAATTTTTCCTCCATCGTCAAATTGGTTCCGTTAACTATGATCCAGCCAATAATTGCACGAAATTCAATTTAATCGATGCGTTCAACAAAAAGTTTGTCTTTTTGTACATGAGCCATGCAAAAAGTTCGGATGTGGTGTTCATCATTTATCTGCTGGGCCGAAAAATTGATGCACAAAAGTTTATGATCGATTTTGAGCTGAAGGATGATGAATTGCGCAAAGTGAAATTCATCGAGATGTGTTTCAGTGATGCCGACAATATTGCCACTATCATCAGGGATCATCGATGCTTCGTTTTGTCAAAAAGGTTGGTCGAGTCGTTTGTGAAAAATGGCAACTTGGAATTTCGGTTTGTGATCAAGAAAAAGGATGGCATCGTATTGGAAAATATCGAAAAGCAACAGCATTTGTTGAATGTATTGTGCGGTGAAGCTGGTGGACCAACACCACAACTTGCTCCGAAAATGCAAATGAAGGCCTATCAAAGTGAATCCAATCTCTATTTGTCGGCTGGACGGAGCAATGGAGCTGCAAACAACAAACCAAGATACCATCGTAATACGAAGAAATGAACATATTCGTGTTAAATTTAGCTTATCAACACGTGGTTTTTGTCTTTGCACTTATTTTCTATGTTGTTATTGTGCCTTGTGCGCGAACCCTATTCATTCGTGTCTATGGGAATTTCATTTATTCAAAGAAATTACATCGAACGATGCGAAGTCAATTCGAAATTGGATTAGATTTAAGTACCGCTATGCCCTTTATTATGAAACATTTCTTCGAAACCATTTTGAAGGTCCAAATATTCTCATTAATTAAAAATTAATTCAGATTGATTTGTGTTGTATCACAAAACTTGAAATAAACATCGACAAATCATAAAACATTCACTCATTTTTAAGGATTTCCAGTTTTCTTACCTTTTCAGCTATGTGACGTCAATTGATTTTAAAGGTAAATGAAAAAAATGATATTTTCGACGCTGAAAAATACTGTTTTGAAATCAAATCAAAGCAAAGCAAAGCAATAATGGGCTCGTTTTCCATTGAAATGGTAATGACATAATTGGGGTACAGTCGTATTTTTATGGACCATTTTTTGAACAATAAACAAACACGCCTTTTGAAATCGAATGCCATTTCCTTCATGAGATTGAACAATAGCTTCATAGAGCTAACGACATTCTTTAGTGACGGTTGCAATTCTGATTTACTAGAGGAAAGATACTCGATTGGAAGTTTCGAATATTCATTTATTTTTTTAAATCAAAATTGAAATTTTCAAGTTCAATTCTTGTGTGAAATTCCGTTTCACCGAAATTCTATTCAAAATGCAAATTTTGCAAGCAAATAAAAAAATCTACGCATTTATGAGCATCGATCCACCACAATCACTTCGAATTTATCAACGATTTAATGCTAAAATCTGCACAAATGCTGAAATGGTTCTTCAATTTGGCATTTCGTCTGTTCTGTGTGTCGTAATTGAAGCAAATAGCTTCATTGAATGTGCTAAAACAATTGGATGGGCCATCACAGCTGTATTTACTGTTTATGATAACATTATCATTTTCTGGAAATCACCGGCAATGTTCGAACTAATTGACAATTTTGAAGCGTCAATTAAAACAAGTGAGTAGACATTAATCGAGCGTTGTCCTTAAATGTTTTAAATAAGATGTCACTTATTTTAATGTCAATTAAAATAAGACTACTAGTAATTCCTATCACCATTATAATGGTGTAATAAGTTATGGTTCATGACTATTTTTTTTACAGGATTAGAGAATGCAACATCAAAAGTATACTTCGAAAAGGCGCGTGATAAAATCGATAGAATGACTCAGGTCTTCGCTTTTGCCAAAGTGACATTTGTCGGCGTAGTAATTCCAAAGTTATTCGTCACATTGTTTAGTCTCATCATAGGTGGATCGGATTATGATGGCTATTGGTTATTATAAACATACAGTTTTTCATCATGACGAATATGAATTGATTTGATTTGAAAAAATGCTTCAAATCAATTTAGTTGCAGAATTTCTTGTTCATCTTCAAATCAAATCAATATATTTGATTTGTTGGTTTTGATTTAAAATCCAAATTTAACAACCCTGTTTTTATTTTATTAGTTTTCCTCCATGAGCATCATTCATCCAAATCAAAAAACTTCGAATGCTTTTGAAATAAACACACGAAAATACATATTCAAAATCGAAATTTGTCCACTCAAACCGCAAAAAATATTTCACATCAATTATTTATATGATAAAGGTATCCGTTTAACTGGAGAACGCCAATTGGGTACTTGGCCGCATTCTGCTTACAATTCGGTGCACGATATTATCTTCTGCATGATTTCTTTTGTCAATTGTGTTTCCCATTCTCAACGTTAATTGCAGTTAATTGTGTTAACTGCATTCATAAAAGATGCGGAAATTGAGCTGAATAGTGAAAATGAAGTCCAAAAATCTAGCACGAGTAACAAGGAATTCAAGCAGAAACTTCATCATTTCATTCGGCTACATGCGGATCTGAATCAGTTGAGTACACCTCCATTCTCATTGAGATTTGGTATTAGATTAGACTGTGAATTATTATAATCAATGACACCGTTTTTATTTAGATTTATATATGACTTTGACAATAATTATCAATTTTTGTGGATGGGTTTTTTCTTATGGAGTCTTTTAACATCATGCGTAAATCTTCAAATATTCCATGTGGAGTTGCTGGTGATTTAGCTACAATTTTTAAAAATAAAATCAATAAAAAAAACTGCTAAAGATTTTTTTAAATATGATCAGAGTCTTAGGCATCGGATATGGGTAATATTTCTGTGTGGTTCACCGTCATTGCCAGATTAGTTTGGACCCTCATTATGATCGCTGCCTGGTAACCAGGTGAACAATGCATTTATTAAGATGAACTATGCCATTTGCCAATTGGACTGGTATTTGTTCCCAATTGAGACGCAACGATTGCTACCTCCAATCATTGTAATGACACAAAATTCTGCTTGTATCGAAGCCTATGGGAGCTTTACTTGCTCATGGGACACATATTAACGGGTAATTTCAATTGGCATTTTTTCGTACCAGAGAAGAGGTTGGTATTGACCACTTTGATAATCTATTCGAAATGATTTATTTACTTTCAGATTATGAATACGATATTCTCATATTCATGATTTTTCGCAGAATGATCTAAATTATACGAAAGAATGTCGCTTTTAAAAACAAAAATACCCCATGAAAAGAATAATGAAAAATTATAGGCATATTTTCGATATGTCGAATTGGAAAATTTCGAAAAGCAACGGAATTTGTTGAACAATATATTGTGAGGTGAAGCTGGTGGACCAAGTGTTGGCTAGGTGGAGCAAGGGAGCTGCAAACAACAAACCAAGATACCATCGTAATCCAAAGAAATGAACATATTCGTGTTAAATTTAGCTTATCACCACGTAGTTTTTGTCCTTGCACTTATTTTCTATGTTGTTACTGTGCCTCGTGCGTGAATCCCATTCATTTGTGTCAAACTTGTTCATTTGAAGAAATTATATCGAACAATGTTTAGTCAATTCAAAATTGGATTAGCTTTAAGTACCTATACGTGATAAAATGAAACATTTATTATAAACCATTTTGAAGGTTCAAAGCATTCACATTAATTGAAAATTAAAAAGAAATGGTAAAATTTATACCATATTATATTCATAACATTCCGATTGATTAGTGTTGTATCACAAAACTTGAAATGAAAATCAAAAAATCATAAAACTTTCACTTCTTTGGCATTGAATGCCTGAAAATGCATAAGGATTTCTATTTTCCGATTCTTATCAGCTATGTGACGTCAGTTGGTCTTGAAGGTTAGTCATAAATCTGACATTGTTTACGCTAAAAAAAATTCTGTTCTAAATCAAAGCAAAACCATAATGGATTCAGAGAATCATTTGAGCATAAGTATAGTGAAAATATATAAATATCAGTAAATGAATATTCGTCTCTGTGCTCCCACACACTGTGTGGCAGGAGGACATTCACTCATTCGTCTGATGCAATTTTGAATAATTTGGTCGTTCTCTCCTCTATTCCCATCTCTTGATAGTACATACCCGTGATCCTCCTATATGAAGAAAAAATGTCTCAGATTAATTGAAAAATGAAGAGGTGCCGATTGGTCGATTTCCATCTGTATCAAGTTTTTATGTTCAAATGCGAAGCAAAATGTGTTTTAAATAATGTTTTGTAGAGTATTGCGAACTAGGGGAATACCACGTTTAGATTTTTTCAAATATTAAAAAAAAAACGATATATCTCTAAGAATCTGTCATATGAAATATGGTGGATATTTGTGAATATGAATGACATTTAAGCCGAGACAACGTCCGCCATCTTGGATTTAATGCAAAAATCTCAAAAATCCACAAAAATCTTGATTATTTATTCAAGATATTCGAAAATATGTCATATAATTGATGTCTATTTCAAATATTTCAACATATTTCCACTATTCTTGAGCGTGATATTCCCATAGATTGTGAACTTGTAGAACATTTTAATAATTCCATTTAAACTTTTAACTTAAAAGTTTTAAGTTGTTTGTGCAGTGTAATTTCGTTTAATTTTGAATGGGTATGAATTGAAAACCGAAACTCCGCCATAATTTCCTTTTCATTAGTTAATTTTTATTCATAATAACAATATATAATAACAGAAATAGTTGTTTTGTTGTTGTTCTTAATTGTTCATCTTGTCATTTGCTTTAGTATCGTTCCCTATTTGTTTTCTATCATTCTTGTTCGGGTTCAGATTTGTTGTTGTTGTTCTTCTTCATATAGTGTCACTCATCATCAATAGTTTTACCATATTTGGCTTAATGTATATATATATATGTATATATATATATTTATTCATGCAATTAATTACACTTGTATATATCTAGATAATGCAAACAAAAGCGTGAGCTTATTTTCTTTAGTTTGGGATTTCGCTAGGATCGCGTTCAATAGTATGATTGCAAAATTTCAAACGATATTAATAGCAATTTTAACGAAATAACACAGAAAAACGTGTTTCATTTGTTTTTTTCTTCTTCTCTTTTCTCATGTTTTGGGCGAGCGAGCGCACGCGCGCATTCTGTCTATGGATCAGTCATTTAACCAAGTTCAGTTTGTTTTGTTGCTCAACTCCTTGTTGTCATTTCAGTTTGTCCTTCGATTTCGAGTACATGTTAGTTGTAATTGTATTAATATGCAATCGTTTTCTTTGTTTTATTTGCTCTTCATTTTGTTTTATCATGTCGGTTGTCTTGGTTTTTTCTTTTCACATTCCTGTTTGTACAATGTTCAGTGAATGTGTTTATGTGATATTCGAGCGTCACTGTTTGATACCGTTTTGTCTGTCATTTTCTTACATTTTGCAAAATGTGTGTTTCAATATCTTCTGTTTTGCCTGTGTTTGGTGAACCGAAAATGTAAAAAAAAAAAAATCAAAGTTGCTATTGGATTGGCAATTAAAACGAAATCTAATGAAACAACTCATTGACTTGATAACTGAAAATGCACAAACGACTTTCGTCGAAAGTTGAACTGCTCAAACGTTTCCAAAGAAAACCAAAGCAGATTTTACTAGCGAAAGACAACATAAAAAAAATTCAACTTGAGTGTCAAAGAAAATGATGTTCGGGTGTGACTGTGTATATGTGTTTCAAGTCGTGCCCATGCCGTCCAGACGAAGTTCCAATCAGTGCACACTGGAACTTTGGCGATTCATCCAGAATTAACTTTAAATTATGGCGTTTCCCAAACAATTGAACCTATTTAACCATGCACTGATTTCAGCTTCGTTTCATTGTGTGCATTTCGTTCGGTGTGTAAATGTCTCCGGTTGAAGCGTTGCCATTGGAAAACAGTTCAATTGTTTAATAAACACGATATATTTAAAGCACAAAATGATCAACAAATTACGTTATTAATTTTTCTTGGTGGTTTTTTGGTTTGTTTGCTTTGCTGTTCGTTCGTTCGTATTTACTGTTCGCAAAATTTGTTCGGTTTGTAAATGTGTTGCTTCTCTCTTGTTGTTATTCCGGAGTTGTGTGTGTGTTGTGTATGTGTGTGTATGTGTTGATTTCCGCGATCATCGGTACGCGCGGTTACTAGTTAATTTGCACATTTAGTTTTTTTTTCTATTCAAATTTGGCTGTAAAACGAAAATGTATGCTCAAATGGTCAAATGCTGTAATTGCTTATGTACGCTAGCTTTGTTTTCTTCTGGTTTCTTCTTTCTCTTTACATATCATTTCAGTTGGGATAGGTTTTGTATCGTTATGTTGCTCGTGTGTATGTGTGTTTTTCATCATCATCATCTTCTTAATTTCTTTTGTTTAAATTACTCCTGAGTTCTGAAATGGGTTATGATTTAAGTGAAAATTGCGGTGTATGGGTATATATGTGTGTGTATGTGAAATCGATGACAGAAATGCATTCCTAAAATCAAAGCTCTGTCGAATGATTGGTTTTGTTTTTCTCGTTGTTTTAAAAAGGGTAAGTTCGATCCATTTTATTTGCCTATCAAATTAAATGAAAAACAAAAACAACAAATTCCCGAATATTTAAAGTAAATTGTTTGTTTTGTTTTTTTGTTTGCCTTTTCCAAACTAAATCATTTCATTCATGTTGAAGGTGAATTCTCTATGTCAATATCTGGTGTGAGACATTTATAAATGGAATAAGACTTGATTTTGCCAATGAATTAGTAAAAAAAAAAATATATCTCATCTCTAAAATGGGCTATTTTTTTTTGTTATCTTCGATGGTCCTGTTTGTTGTTTCTTTTTTTTATTTATTTGAATTGTCTATTTTATTCATCACTTGTATGTGGGTATGTGTGTCTGTATTGATTATCATTTACAAAAATATAAATCGACCATTTTATAAATGCAAATCGCATATCTATGCGCGTATGTGTGAGTGAGTGAGTTTTTGGATAAATTTGCAAGCAAAAACTTTGTATGTGCCGAGTTGTGTCAATCTTGACGATTTTTTCTTCTTCTTCTTCTTCTTCTTTTTTTCCTTTTTCATTCATGAATTTTTACAATTTTTACAATTTGTTTCGTAACAAAAGAAAAAAAAAACGATTTGTCATCTTGGATTTTTTTTCTTCTTCACTAATAATCATCATCAACTACATTCTATTGATATAAACTCTCTAATAAGTCCGTCGCAAACCTAAAAACTCAAAATATATACTCATTATAAAACAATTCGGAGCCTCCTCCATTTTGGCTGTGTGTGTGTGTGTGTTTTTCTATTTGTGGAGTAAAATGACAGTCGCACACTTCTCTTTTTTTTGGTTTGTTTGTTTGTTTCGTCGGGAAGATGCTTTAGTATACCAAGGTGTGATGCGGTAATGATTCATGGTAATTGTCAATTTTTCTTTTGGAATTGACATTTTTCACATTGGGAATTGGTTCGGGTGATAAACGATGCCAGAGCGTTTGATTTTGTAGGAACCAAAACAAGACATAGATCTCAAAATTTGAATGTGAAATTCAAATCCAACATTGGATTTCACTTACAATTTATGGGATCCATCTCGATCCAGATTGAATCGTTTTTTTGTTTTCGTCCTCTCACCAATTTAATGTTGAGTCAAAATTGTTGACTGTCACTGATTTTCCTGGTCAAAATGAAAATCGATCTGTTTTTTTTTGGCATTCATTTCCACCCGAAACCATGGTCAAGTGCTTCCGCTATAGCTATGTCCTATTTTAAGCTCTGAATTATGGGGTATTTTTTGGCTAATGTGTTGATGATTTTTGTTTGTTTATTTTCAAGTCTTTTGTGAAATTTGGTTGCGGCTTTGAAATTTCAAATATGAAAAATCCGCGAGAAAATTGAAAAGAATTGTGAAGTGGAATATTTGTCGATTGAAAAGGGAGGGGAACAGAATGAAAGTAAAAGAAATAAAAAGAAAATGTTAATTCCTTTCGAAACAGAAATATTTTTTCTTCAAATTAGCATCTATTCGATAATTAGTTGAACCCGTGAGCATAAAAACGACTTATTAAACAATCGCCGAACAAAACGATACAAGAAAAAACTACCAAACAAAACACACGTTAAAAACGTAACACAGCAGGACGGTACCGTTCAAAACGAAACTCCGCTGTGCTACACATCACCGCTGTGGTACGTTTTGTTCGGTAGTATTTTCTTGTATCGTTTTATTCGGCGATTGTTTAATAAATCGTTTTTATGCTCACGGGTTCAGTTAAAGAGTGAGTTTTCTGTGCAAATTCGTTTTGAAATGAAAAATAATGAGAAACTGATGAAAAACTGCACACATTCATTGGAAGATGTATGTAGACTATTTGAATGGTTAGGAGCGAAAATGTAATACAGAAAAGTTGAGCGGAAAAATGTCAAATGAAATGGGATGGCTATATAGTTCACTATAGTTTACTACACAGTTTACTATATAGCTATCCCTTTTCCGCTCATTCATCATCGACATTTTTCCGCTAAACTTTTCTGTATTACATTTTCGCTCCAAACCATTCATTTATGCCTAAGAAATGTTCAAACGAAAAAAAGGCGAAATTACATTCCTTACTGTTTTTTCCTAGGTTTTCTCTGTCTTTTCTCTCAATCTCTTGACTTGTGTATATTTTGATCGTTGCAGGAGAAGTGATATAGGTTCGATTTGGGCCTAAGTCAAATGTTAGGACATTATGTTCTCACGATGAGAACGTCACACAGCTCTGAAAACTGTGTATGCTATTTGCGTGTGCGTGCAAAGCACAATAGGACGTGATTAGAAATAGTGACGCGAGTAAATCTCTTATCGATCCGAAACAAGACGAAGAAAAAGAAATAACGAAAGACGAAAAAAAAACATTTGAATGGCAACAAATACCTACTAGAGTAACTACGATAAAAATTAATATGATGCTTCAGTTTCAAATTTCATAGTCTAGCAAAATTTCCATTTCATAAATTTGTCTAATAGGAAAACAACATAACGATTAATTCATCATTTTTTTCATCATTTTTTTTTCTTTGTTAAATTTTTTCTTTAATTGATTGCTCTGATTTCGCATTTCCTAATTGATAGCAATTTCATAGATATTCATAGATTTGTGTTCATTTTTTTATGTGTGAGTGTGTTTGTTTGTGTGTATGGGAGTAATTCTTGAATCGTGGCTTGAATTTGATTTTACCAATAGAATTGATTTGGTAGTTTAACATTCAAGTGTTTCATCTATATCCACATTGATTTTCGTTTTGTATGGAATTCTCTCGTTTTTTTTTTCGTAAGTTTCTGATTAAAATTTTTCTAAAAAAATTGGTTTTCAACTTCATTCACTTCGAAATGTTCATTGATTAAACTGACTAAATTGCTCGAAATCCATTTAAAACTATTTGCGTGCAGAATAGGCAACTTCAAACGTAACGATAGTTGTTGTTGTTGTTTTTTTAGTGTGATTGATTTACTGAGATGATTTTTTTTTGTTCAGGCTTGTGTATGCTTCCTAATACATTAAGCTAGCGATAACACTCTGTACAGCGCATATGTTGATAAAAATTCGTTCCGTCTTAAAATGTTCTTTTTTTTTTTAGCTAGTGTCATTTTTTGCGTGACACACACGTTGACCACCGTCGCTGGAATGGTTGTTTTCAATGGTGGTGTTTGGGTATAGCCGCTAATTAGGTTGTTGTAATTGTTGTTTTTTGTTCTGTTAACTTGAATCGGAGAATTTTCCCACAATCGAGCATTCATTTACGAGCGTGTTTGGTCAAGTCAATACCACACTGTTGTTGATCAATATCCTCTGGATGGCTAGCCGGCAGGGCAAGCAAATGTTAGGCCTCTAGAAAAATCAGTGCAGTCGGTTTAGGTTCTAAATTTGATTTTTTCGCTTCAACCACTAAAAATGTGATGTCCGGCTTATCCGGATTGGCAAAGCATTCGGCAATAAGGCGTGCAACGTCCTGACAAACAGCGAAAGAGAGGGAGAGAGAGAGAGAGAGGAAGAAGAAAAAAAATGATCACTTTGAAATATGAAGCAATTGAACGGTCGAAGATCCTACCTGATGATGCATTCCTTCCACTTTATTACCATCTACTTCAAGAATCAGTTGACCAACTTCTAAGCCACCAGTTTCATATGCAGCTCCATGTTCCTGTCAATTGGATACGAATGCATTAGTTTTCATTTTTTGAGAAATTTTTACACACAATTTCAATGAATTTTCAAAGAGAAATTTCAAAAAAAAGATTCTATTTCCATAAGTCTTGGAACCAAGACATAACGTGGAACTAATTAGAACAATCTATTTTATTCAAAAAGTGGATCAAAGTAATTAAATGTGTGGTTTTACATGGATATTGATGATTCTCGGCAACGGATGTTTCGTATTTGCACCGCCTTCAATCGCAATTCCTAGTATTGGTTTTGTCTTTTTAACGGTAATGTGTAAATTTCCTCTATGATCAGGTACGACGTGTGGATTGTGTTCGTGATTTGGATCGTTTGATAATCCATTCGGATGTTCACCCGACAAACGCTGCATTGACTGAAACATCGAAAGAACATGAAAGCATTACTATCCGTATTTTGTTGAACAAAACGGTTGATTTGGTCACATATGCCTGAAGATTGATCATTTTCCCCTTTTCTCTACTACTTCTTTTTTTTTCTTCTTTCTCTTCCGCTTCTTGTTCTTGATTCAAGATCTTGAAGACTTCTTCTCCTAAATTCTTTTGCCTTCATTCCTTTTCTCTTACTTAAAAGCCGTTCTTTCGGAAACTCAAAAAAGCCACACAAAAAAGTGACGAAAAGAAAGCTTTCAATACCTGATGCCTGCGCAAGTTGCCGCCAAGTAGATTTCCCGATTCTTCTTTCATATCAAAGCTTCTCGACAGTTTGGTTGCTAGTTCCTGTTGTTCGAGCCGGCATTTCGATGAGCATTTATTTTTGTTCGACGAGTGAAAAAAAAAGAAAGAGAGAAAGAGAAGACTTACTCATGATTCATGAATCATGATGCCAACACACATCTTGATTTGCATCCACCAATAAAATTAAGATTGTTTTTAATCAGATTATGCTCAATTTTTTGTTGTTCATTTCCAAAATTGAGAATTTCAATTAATTAACCGAAGATGATCAGCTCATTTTGTGCAACAAAGGCACTGTTCTATTGTCGGGAAAGACAATGAAAAGTTTTCATTTGTTAAAAAAAGAAGTTTTCATTTTTTTCCCAAAAAGACCAAATTTAAAGACAATGTCTTTTGTTTTGATGAAAAAAAAGCGTTTCCATTGATTTTGATTCCTTTCTCTTTTGTAGCGACAAAATCGAAATTTTATTTGATGAAATCAATCATGAGTTTGGTGTGCTACATTCGAAACAGGAACTGATTGCGTATAAATGTGGATTTACACAGAGTGATTATACATGTAATGAGAAAAGAAAAATTTGCGCGCGGGTTTCGAATAACATCAATTCAATTCAATTCAATGAAGATTTTTTTTTTTCTTATTTGAAAGGTTTTTTTGGCTTAGTTTTTCGTTCACAGAAACGTTTGGTTCGCGTGTGTATCACATCTTCATTCCGGCATTGTGTAATGGCATGTTTTGATGTCAATGTTCGATTCAAGCCGTTGCCACTTGGGATGAAGATGGATCACAAATACGCCCATCTACGAATGGAAAAAAACGCAAATGAAAACAACAAAAACAGAACGGATGACAAACAGAATGGATAAAACCTAACACTACCATAAAGAAAAACTAAGGATAAACCCAAGAATAAGATGACATGATACAAAACAAAACACACACACACATTTGATGGATAGTGGAAAGAAATGTGATTCAACCAAAAACAAAAGAGACCTATTTTTAAGCTACTCTGGCTGATTTAATTGACGGTATCACTGAGAACTCATAATCGAATTTTGAACAACAACAAAAAAATCAGTCCAACTGAAATGAAGAATTGTTCGTCTAATCTGTCAGCAATATATGACTGATTATTATTATTTAGACACTAACCTAATGCTAGCAGGGGGAGTATATTCACAGTTAAAAAAGAATGTGTTTTTAAATTTCGAAAAAAAAAACAAATTCGATCATCAACATTTAAACGGAAAAAAGAACACATAGCACAAAGAGTAAAGGGTATCCCAATAGGGACGCAAAAAGTTTTTCAATAGGGATTTCATGATGGATGCCCCGATCTGTCAAACTGGAATGTCAGTTTGAAGCGTCCATCTATACCATTTATAACCATGTCAAGATTAAGTAAAGATCAACGCGTTCAAGTCGTTAAATCCCATTACGAAAATGGGTCTATTTTGCAAAATACGTTTCGTGCAATTCGTGAATTTTTCGGCCGAAATAATCGACCAAATGTGTCCACCATCAGTCGCCTGGTGCAGAAATTTGAGCGTACTGGCTCTGTGTTAGACGATCAACCATCAACCCGTATGCGAACGGCCCGCTCGCACGAAAATATTGCTGCTGTGAGTGAAAGTGTGGAGGACGAGCCAAGAACCTCGGTTCGTCGACGTTCTCAACAAGTTGGCCTCTCTAGGATGACCACATGGCGTATTCTCACCAAAGACTTGGGTCTACACGCTTATAAGATTGTCCTCACTCAAGAACTTGAACCGATGGACCACGGAAAACGAAGAGATTTCGTCGAATGGGTCAAAGGAAAAGAGGCCGCGGATGCCGATTTTTTGAAGAAAGTGATCTTTTCGGATGAGGCTCATTTTCACTTGAATGGGTATGTGAATCACCAAAATTGTCGATTCGGGGAAGCGAAAATCCAAGAGAAACTGAAGAAGTGTCAGCTCATCCAGCTCGTTGCACTGTTTGGTGCGGTTTATGGGCCGGCAGCATCATCGGGCCGGCGGCATCATCGGGCCGTATTTCTTCGAAAATGATGATGGTCGAGCCGTTTCCATCAATGGCGAGCGATATCGTGAGATGTTACAGTATTTTTTTTGGTCGGAAATTGAAGATATGGACTTATCCGACATGTGGTTTCAACAAGACGGCGACAGACCACACACAACACCTGAAACATTAGCGGTAATCGAAGAACGTTTTCCAAATCGCATCATTTCTCAAAAGGCCGAAGTGGAATGGCCGCCTCGTTCGTGCGATTTAACGCCATTGGACTATTTTTTTTGGGGCTACGTCAAGGATAAAGTCTATGCCAACAAACCAAGCACCATTGCCGAGCTGAAAATTGAAATCAGACGTGTCATAGCCACCGTAAATGTGCCATTACTCGAATCTGTAATTGAAAATTTGGGCAAGCGGCTGAAGGTCTGTGAAAAGAGCCGTGGTGGACATTTGCACGATATTCTTTTTCATACATAAATGGTAAAGACCAAACTACAACATACAATAAAGATTTGGAAAATTGGAAACTATTTTCATTGTTTTTTTTATAATTACTTTTTTGCGTTGCTATTGGGACACCCTTTATAATAAAAATATCGATAATAATTCAAACAATGACCTTCATGGGTGGGGGGAGGGGTGTCAAACTCTCTAAATTACTTGTTTTCGGTTTTATTTTGTTGTTAAATGAACAGAGCGTTGTGGCTACTAAATCTGTCTCTAAATGCTTGAAAAAAAAACAAGTGTATAGATTTGTTCATGTCTTTATTTACACAAATTTCGATCGGTTGTCATGAACAATGTTTCAAAATCTCTCAAGAAAACGGATCACAAATAAGGTTCTCATTCAACGTAGAATTGCACACTGCACTCATTTTATCAATCAATCAGTTTTTTTCTTCTTTTCGATCATTTAAAAGTCTGAAGATCACGGTTGCTGTTTGTTTGTTTAACGAAAAAATTCGAGAGATAGAGAGAGAGAGAGAGAGAGAGAGAGGAAAGGAAGATTTGATGTGTCAAGTTGAAACGAAAAATGACGAGAAAAACAAAACAACGTAAACAGAAACAAAAGAAAAACACGTAACGAAAATGTCGATGAAGTCATCACAATTGTGGTGCGGATGAGGAAATTTTAACGTTTTTGGGCTTTGCTTTGCCATTTTGGGCATTGCCGGACTTCTGTGTGTCTCTGACTTCCGGTGTATGGATGAAGGTGCGTTTTGTTTTTATTTTATTTTTATTTTCGGTAAAATTGTCTAAAAACAAAATAATCTTGATGTGTGACTATATTTGATGATGTGTAAAGTTTTTGAGTGTATTTTTTTTGTTGATTTTTGTTTGTTTTTGTGTTTTTTTTTTGGTATGTGTTTTTTTTCATTTGCAACTTACAAGCGGTCGGCCCCAGTACCAAGATTTGACACGTTGTGTTAAACCACCTAAATGAGAACGAATCCCTTCGAGATAGCCCCCCTGAAATGGAATATCAGTTGTTCCTATCGTGACTGATCAAACGGATTTTTTTTTTGTTTGTTTGGTTTTTGGTTCATAGTTCGAATGGTTTTTTTTTGGGTGTTTACTGATTCGTTTTCAAAAACTAAACATATGGTACACAACAACAACAACAACAACGAAATGAAAACGAATCTAATGATCATTTCCACACTGAAAATGTGTTTGGTTTTATTTATTAAGAACCAACGTTCTTGAAATGCGTATCTATTTTGTTATGAGAGAGGAAAATAGATATAGATAGAAAGAGAGAGAGAGAGAGAGAGAGATAGAGAGATTTTGTTCTGTGTTTGTTGTGTATGGAAAACGATAATAATATATATGTAAAAAAAAAATAACAAGAACAACTGAGAACGAAGAACTAATTTGTAAAAGTGGAACACAAGAATGTCATGTTTGAAAACATATAAAATAAATTAGTTTAATTGAAACGATGTTGATATTTATATTAAAAAAAAAAGGATTTTTTAGTTTAGGTGTGTTGTGTACGTGTGCGTGTACTGGTGAAGGTCATTGTTTTTTCTTCCGTTAAGATCGATGAGATTTTATCAGATTGAGAAAGTGTTCAAATGGCCACAATAAAAAAATGATCAAAAAAGAAGACAGAGTCAAACTAAGAGTGAGTGTGTGAACGAGCGCGACAAATCATGTGTGAAAATTCAATGGAGAGCACTGAATTGTTATTGTTTTCAATGAATTAAGCCAACCGAATCAGAAGAATGAATAGAGTGAGGAAAAAAAGTCGGAAAAAAATTCGAGTTGAATAATTGAATAGACCGGATAAGTTTGTTTTAAAATTCAATTTTGCCTGTTGTTTCACATCGAGATTTTCATTGAGAGCCAAATGCCATGCATTTCTGCCGGTCGAAATGATTTAGCATTTTAATGTGCATTAGACGAATTAAGCGCAAAGCAAATGGTTTTTTTTTTACTTTTTTCTGTTGTTCATTCCAAACACACACACACACACACACACACATACAATTGAAAGTGAGTGAGTGAGAGAGAGAGAGTGAGATCGACTTCATAACACGAAAGCAGTTTATGGATCATGTTTTGTGCACGCAAGCATATTTAAAATTGCAGCATTTTCCCTGTGGTTGTTGTTGGGTGTTGGGTATTATTTTTATTTTCAATTTTTTTTGTGTTGTTTTTGGGGTGAAAATATTATTTGTTCGTCGGGAAAGAAAGGAGAAAAAAACAAGAAATTGTGGTGTGAAATGAATCTAGAACATACACACACATGCTAACGGACACACGCAATTCAATATTTAGAATTTGGAAAAAAAAATTCAACTTAAACTGGGAACACAAACGCAATTGTTTCATTTTTCTTCAAATATTTTTGTTTGTTGTTGTTGCTTGTTTCTGTGTTGTTGTTGATGTTGTTGTGGTGGTTGGTTTTTTTTTTGGGGGGGTTCATTCAAGTCATGGTGCCAATTAATTCTAGGAAAGAAGTTGCAAAAGCAAAGTGAAAAGCCAAAAAATTGACTTATGAGCTGCACGCTAAACAAAATCGGTGCAATCAAATTTTTAAACGAGCTGTAAAAAAATGTGTGTTGTCCGATTTGGGCTTCAAAGAAGCACTCGATCAATTCGATACACACACACATACAAATCACATTCTCATGACAACGTGTTTTTAGAGCTCATTTTGATCTATGTGTGAGTGATCTGGCTGTTGTTTGATTGCTGTTGATCGCGGCATTCAAGCTTTTCGTGATACAGATAGAGATAGAGAGATAGAGGCGAAGACAAACAAAAATTGACTACAAAAAGCTCCGATTTCGAATGTAATCTGCGGTAGACAGATACATACACGGCTGACATTCGCAACGAATAAAAATGGATAGACTTTTTTTTTGTTTCAAAACAAATTCAACTGATTAGTTCAATACAAATTTGGGCAGTTTTTAACAAAAGAATTTTCGAAGAAAAAAAATCATTGTGCAGTTTTGTGTCGTCTTCATTGGACGGGGGACGGCTGTGCAAGCCAATTACTTGGTCAAAAGTTCATTGAGTATAAAATAAAGTATGCAGTGTGCAATGCTTAAAAGCGTTTAAATGACATAACAATTTGTTTGCTTGATTTAATGGACAGAAACGAAAAAAAAGAGATCCTGCTAACTAGGACATACGGAATATATAGAGGATTAATTGACGTGAGACAGTTGTTATATTCGTTTTTATTTTGATTTTCAAATATCACATGAAACGAAAATTCTATTCTAAATGTTCAATCAATACTTAATATTGTTCTAACATATATATATATATATATGAGGGGAAGAGTCGAACCATTTGCAACTAAAAGTTTTCTAACTTTCGAACTTGAACGACGACTTTTCTGTTCGCTTCGCAAATTGGAGCCATTTTGTGCATGAAGAGAAAGATGTCTCGAGAAAAATCCGGTGAAAATGTTTTCTCGGAAATTGAATCTTAAATTTAATCAAAAAAAAAAAAACGGTTTTCCATTTGGAATCGTAATTCAGTCGAAAAAGTTTATTAGAATAAACTTTGGATAATCATTTAAAGCCATTAATCACAAGTGTGTTGCAAGCGTTTACTTTTCCGTCTACATTTTTCCAATGCATTCAACCACAATTTGCGTTCGTTCAATTGTGAATGATGCAAACTTTTGCTGGTGATAGAACTTCAACTCGAGTTTCAATGTTAAAACATCGAGAAATTTTCGTCCGTTGCTCGTTTTTGTTCGCCGTCTTTCGTCAATATCTCGATTTATTTCCATTAACCAATACTTCTATCTAGGACATATATAGAGAAATTTTGTCATTCAGTTGGAGAGTGCATGCAGATCGTGTGCGAGATATAAGAAAAAAGATCGTTCATTCAATATGCACTACGTTTTGTTGTTGTTTCGGTCGCTTTTTTCGGCAAAACTTTGATGCAAAACCAATAGTCGCATTTCAATAATTTAATCGAATTCCGAAAATGCAACTCTTCACTACAAATTAACTTTAATCTTCAATCTAGACTAGAAAATGAACATGTATACGAATCAAACTGAGCTTATTGGTTACTCTATCAACACAAACAAAGAAATGTTCGAGGCGCAATATAGGAAAATACTATGAAAAAAATGAATGGATAGAAAAAAAAACCTTTCTACCATACTACATAATCTACAAAGACTAAAAACAAGGGTCAGTTCAGAGAGATAGAGAGACAATAAACAAAAACTGGAAAACGTGATTGATTTTATAATAAAAGGAATCGAAACCAAAAATAACATGGCGAAATTCAAATAAAGGTCAAGAATAAGAAAATGCAGTTGAGAACAATACGTACAACGTTAAAACACAAAATGAAAAAAAATGCTTTGCGGGCTAATGGATACAAAATCAAAACAAAAATCGAATGTGTTATATCGTATCGTAATTCGTTTCGCATTTATACAATGGATATGTGTGTTAATTTGTTTTTTTTTTAAATCGGGTTGATTTTCATTTAAATCACAATAAATATATATCGCTTTGATTACAATCTGATTTGTGTTTACAATCTGATCTGGTGTGTCAAAACAATCCAGCGATTCAAATATGAATGCGTTTGCAATATGATGTGTTTAAACCAAATAAAATGGAAAATAAAACATTTGATTGTTAAAAAAAATGTTTGGTTTTGTTTTAAACTAACCTGATCCTTTATTCGTGTCAGAGTAATTTTCCAATTGGATATGGTTTTTGTTTTGTTTATTTTGGCAGAGATTTTGTTATGTTTTTGTGGTGTGGTATGTTTGGTAAAGTTTTTTTTTTGGAAGGTGGTTGAAAGGTTGTAATGAGAGGCCGGTCAAAATAAGCCGATAAGTGCGTGATTGAATTGGCGGTGGAAGAAATAGCAATGTCGCAAGAGAAAAAAAAACAACAAAAGGAAGACAGAGAGCGGGAGAGAGAGAGAGAAGAGAGAAAAAGAAAAGAATAATTCGATAAGTTTGATTTGTTTTTTTAATTGGCGTGTTGTGTTTCAAAACAAGTGCCAAAATGTTACCACACAACAGAAAAAGAAAAAAGAGCGTGAATTTTCTGGTTAACTTAAATGTTTTTACAAAGAAAATAGACACAGACAGTGAGTGAGAGAGAGAGAGAGAAAGAGAGAGAGAGAGACACACAAAAATAAAGTTGTATGACAATTACCGCGTCATGGCCATATTCCGTTCTCGCTAGCTGTGATTCACTAACACGATTCGAACGTGTTCCGTTACTCATGTAATCCTGCGTTCATTTGTTTTCATGTGTGTGTGAGAGAGAGTGTGTTTGTGTGTTTTGTTGTGCATGCCAGGCACAGCCACAGGTCACATTGTGTGTGTGTGTGCGTGTTTTTTTTCGTGCGGTTGTTGTTGTTTTTTTTCATAACATTTTACGGAAGAAGATTGGTGAATGTGTTGATTTTTTTTGTGTGTGTTGAAGAATATGTGTGTTTTTTTGTAGTTGTTGTTATATTTGTTTGTTCAAAAAAGGAAAGCAGTTCAACGAAAGCGCAAAAGAAGAGGAAAAAAAGAAAAAACAACGTAAGAAAAGTTGAAGAGAAACATAAGTTTTTTTTTTGGTTTTTATATATAGATGTGAACAAAAGTAAAATTGATTAGAAATTTTAATTTTTTTTTTCTTCGTTTCAAACCATTTGTTGATGGAGCATGGGATAAAAAAAACATTTACGTCCAAATTGGAAAAAAAATTCACACTTACTCTATGTCTGTCTCGATCACTCAAGTACGGATCTCTACTGTACACAAGTTCATCGTATCGTGTACGATCTTCTGGAAATACTAACTCTCTAATTTCGGTAACCAGTGTATGCTGAACCAACACAAATACAATAAAGAAAAAACAAAACATAAGTATTTTTTATGGAGGGAGGGAGGTAAACGTTTAGTATGAACAGTAAACACACACACGTGTAAGAATAACGAAGCAAAAAAAAACATTTGGCGTTTTTATCACAACGTCAAAATGTACACAAAATCAACTTACTTTCTCTGGGGTATCTAACATTTCTAATAAAACCGAGACAAAGGCATCAATGGTCATCCCTCTACTACCATATTCGTTTATATAATATGAAAGACTAGCAAAATTATGTCTAGGTAATAAAGATCGTGCTTTTTCTTCTACCATAGCAGATATAGGACATTTTCTTCTGTTCCTGCACCAGCCAACATTATGTCATTTTTGTCGTGTCAAGAGAACAGCAAAGGCGAGATAGTGAATGACAAAGTGAGAGTGAGAGTGTGAGAGAGAGAGAGAAAGAAAGAGAAAGAGAAAGAAAGCAGAGAACAAAAATGAATGTTAACTTCCAACTTTTTTTACTTTCGTTTGTATCAAAACGGTAAAAAAAAATCAAGTTAAAAAATCACTTCATTACCAACGGTAGATTAGAAAATAATGGCAACAAGTATAATCATCATAACACATACCTTGGCTCAGTTGGACTGTAAGCATCCCAAGGTTCAGGCTCAACGGAAGTACACGAATGAGGTACTTTGCCGACATCTCGAACAATTAGTGACATTCGCTTATGATATTTCAATTGGCTAACGGCTTCGTCGTGCGTTACATCCAAGAATGATTGATTATTCACTTCGAGAATTTGATCGCCAATCTGTACGGATGGGATGCAAATGGAATGGAAACACATTAGAATTTATACAAAATTTGTATGGCAACAAGTGTCGAACAATGAAAGAAACGAAAAATTTTCAATGAAAAAAAACATCTATTAGAACAGATGCAAAAAAGCGACAAGATTTGAATGCAATAAAAGAAAATTTCAAAACGAACACCAAAAATATTATTCAAAACCGTACCATTAATCCAGCGCGATCGGCAACGCTATCCTTGTCAACGCCGGTAATAAAGATGCCTAAACCATATTCGACACCGCCTCGAATCATCAAACCGAGCGATTGTCCGGGCTCGATGAGCAGTTCAACATTTCGGATGCGATCGCGTCGATCGTGCTTTCGGCCGCCATATTCGACTGGTGGTGAGGTGGGTCGTCCGTGTCGATCCATCCACGAACACGTTTGCCTCGATGGGTGATTGTAGGCATCGCGTAACGGTGGCCCAAAACCATGCAATGGTGCCGTTGAATTAAGCATCGGCGGTGCCCGTACCGTCATACTTATTTGTCTTGATGATTTTAAAATCTGTACACATCGCTGTATGAGAATAAACCGTACGAAAAAAAGAAAGCAAGAAGGATGTTGATAGGGTGATAGCTGAACTACGGCACGATCATCAATGGAAATGGTATCAATGGTCAAAAACATTCGTCCGAAACATACACCCACACACACATACAAAATAATTTATGCTGTACTAAACGAACGATAGAATTGAACAGAAATAACAACAAAAAAAACCACTAAACACCAATCAGTCGGATTGTGTGAAAATTGCAATTGCGTACACAACCGAGCACTGGATCGACTGACTCTCTTTCGCACACACACACAACCCCAATTGGCCATGACATCAAATCGTAACTTATGCATGGCTTGATTAAATACACGGTCGAGAAATGCCAAGAAATATTGTGAAATAGCTCTCTACCGTCGAACCTGAATGTTTAACCACTTCTACGAAATTATTCACACTGTTTTGCTAATGCCATGACCAAAAGACGTTGTACAACATTGAAACAATCCAGCTTTGTGTATTTCCATACACAATTCAAATGGAGCGAGTGAATGAGCGGGAGAGGGAGGAGGAAGAGGAGTTTGTGTGTTGATATATGTTTGTTGTTTTCGGCTTATCTAAGAAAACGCTAAGACTTTGTCAAACTAAATATGATGGCTAATGCAATTGGCATGGGCAACATCGATGTGGTTTTCAATTAAGCATAAAGGATGGTGGTTGTTTTTATCTGTCTATGACATTGAACGAAAATTTCTTCGACTGCAAACTGGACGATGAGAGGATGGTGGTTGGTTTGGAAAATGTTTGGAGTTTTCGGTAACAAACAGAGACTTTGACCAGAGAAAAAAATAACATCAATTCAAGGGCTATTGTACCTTTAATGCTTCGTCATGGCTAACCGATGTAAATGGTGTACCATTTACTTCGAGAATTGAATCACCCGGTCTTAAACCAGCCCGTTCGGCCAGAGAACCTTCTTCGATGCGTGATACATACACACCATGGCCAGCATCTTTACCGCCCTTCACACAAATGCCAAAACCATGCGAATCCTGTTGGTCACGCGACATGGTCACCGTTCGTGTTGACAACTCATGGATATTCGTCACACTTCGGTCCCGATCCCGTTCACGTTCTCGCAGTGTCTGAAAAAAAAAACGGGCAAAAGAATTTTGAGTGAAAAATTCCGTTTTGTTTCCTTCAAATTAAAATTCAATTGAAAATAATTGGCGAAAATTGACGAGGTCATAAAAAAGAACAAAATTGTATAAAATTTACTCGATTCACATGGTGTGTAGTTGATGGTGGACTACTCGCCGGGCTTCGTCTGCCACGTTCACGAGCAATACCATTGCTATAATTGTAATTGCTAGGCGCCGAAGATGAGGATGTTGTCGTGCCGAACAAACGAAGCACTTGTTCCGGTGAAATTGGCCGTTTTTTGTTGATATTGCTGCTGAAAACGAGCGAGAAAAAAAATGGCAATTTTAATGAAAAACCGGATAGAGTTCAATTAATGGACATTTGAAATGAATACACATTAAAGCTAATGAATATTTAAAATGGCTTAATGTTTTCCAATTAGTAATTGGCAATTACATGAGTATGAGCAAAAAGTAGAGAGAAAAAAATCGATAAAATATTGAAAATCGGAAAAATTTGCCCAGAAAATGGGCTTTATTTTCCACCTTTATTGAAATTTAAAACAAAATAAACAAAAAATGAGATGTAAATCGATCGAAATCGGATTGTTTGCATCCGGCTGTATCAACTTACGCATGTCTTGAAGAAGAAACATTAACCGACGATGAGCTGATGCCAGTGCCTAGCATCGGTGCGTTCGCGTTCGGTATGTGTGATGAGGAACCCAAATAAGCTCCACGATTTGGGAGTGAACCGCCCTTAGGTCTGTTGCAAACATGCAAATTAAAATCGAATTTGAAAATTGCACACAATGAAATTGGGGAGAGCGGGAGAGAGCAATTTCAGGAAATGCCCGAAAGCGAAATGCAAATGATCCGGCGACCGGAAATGATATACGTGTTCATTGACGGGGTAGGAGGTGTTGGTGCGATTTAATTTCAAACTTACGGATTTTGTTGTGGATAATAGTGTGGCGAATGAGGACGTTCGATGATTGTGTAGGATGTGCCCGGCGGTGAATAATATCGTCCAGTGGCTCGTAATGAGCTCGTACTGTTTGTAATGCGTGATGAATTGCCATAGGGTTCGATAATGTCTTCAGCTTCAAAACTATTTGAACGTATGTGGCTGGTGCTAGCCGATGTGGATGTATGATGTAATGAACTGTGTGGTTGATGATAGTTTCTTGATGAGGACGACCATCTTGATGGTCCTAGATCACATAATTCGGCGTAATCATTACCTAATATCGATATATAGATATATCGACGAGAACAATGAACCAACGAACGAAACAAACAATAAATTATTTAGCATTTGTACATCAATTTCAATCAATCATGCCGTTTTAATTAATACGCACATACACATGCACATGCACACGCACACTTACCGCTTTGCATTGCTTTATGAGATCGTTTGATGCACAGTCGTAACCGTTGCAATAGAATGAATTGTTATGTTCAGTTCAGTTCGATTGGTTTCAGTCAATTAACTGTGGATAAAGACAGAAATAGAGAGAAAGAGAGAGAGAGGGAGAATAAATAAAAGAATGAGTGAGAAAGAAATGGAAAAGTGTAAGCATATGGATGACGATAAAATATTCATGAATAACAATTTCAAGGACTTTTGGGCCGATCAATTGCCTATTTTTAGAAAATGGCATCAATCACATGGGCTATTTTTGGTAATCCTAGAAATGAAAAAAAAAACTGCACGGCTACATGACCATTTAGCGATGCTACAAATTGTTGTATGCCAATTGGAAATGTGTTGCTGTTTTTTTAGTGCCAAAAGCCGAACAGAATGTATTGAGAGCTGGAGAAAGTGCTGGATAGATACACACACGCACTAACACACACACACACACACACACAGGCAGCAGTGCAGTCTCAGCTCTATTGAACAATTTGGCAGCGTTAAGTAGTCATGTTTTGCTTGAATTTATGGCATGATGTTGCGAGTGAGAGGGAGAAAGAGTAAGATACATACCCTTAATGTGTAGAAGCATACAACATCATTGCACCACTTCTAGGCTAGTCATAACCGATGCAAGGGGAATGGAGGCATTCGTGCTGGTTTTCTCTTCGTCGTCACACTTTCTTCGTCTTCAACGCAATCGATTCATGGTTTGATACACATCGAAAAGGAGTGCATGTGAGGTCAATTATTGTGCTTGTTGCTCTTCTTCGACGTAGTCGACGTCGTCGCTATTTTTTTCGTAGTTCTTTTTGTGGTTGTTGTTGCTTTTTTCTTCTCGATTGCTCTTCCCGAATTGATCGGCAAACTTTTCCCAGCGAATTCGATTGCGTTTTTTTCTCTCTTTCTGTTCTTGCTTCAATCCTTGCCTATTTTTCTCTCTCTCGTAAATAATCCACAGTTGCTCTGTTCTCTTGTTTTTTATTGCGCTTCGCTTCTTTTCTTTTCTATCTATTGCACATTCGATACACTTGCATATCGTTTTAAGTTACATTCTTAGTGTAACGCTTCAGCATGTTAACATTTTATTGATTCTTTTTGAATGGAAATTCCGTCGTACATATTCGGTGCTGCTGTTCTTGTTCTTGCTCTTGCTGATGTTGTTGTTGTTGGTGTTGCTGTGTATATATGGCTGTTCTTTTTTTCTTATTCTTTCTTCTCTGTTTTTCACTGCATTCAACATGATTCTCCACTCAAAGTCATACACTTTAGCATTTTCACGATCACAGGCAGCATTGTTGTTTTCGCACAAAAACCTACAAAATACGTTCAATACTTGATTGAAACATACAACGTTCCATTCTCGACTCTAAATTCCGATATGCAATCGCATATATATATGTGTGTGTATTTCGTTGTAATCGAATAAATACGGAGCATTTGTTGTTTACTCGCATTTGTATCCCATTTGCATGATATCATTGAAGCTCGTGTAAGACTCACGTTTTCGACTTCATAAGCCGTTCGATTGCTATCTAGCATGTAGAATTGCATACACCGCTACCACCACCACTACTACCCTCTCTGGCTAACCTGCCCCGTGTGCCTTCTTCAACACAGAACATTCAATGTAATTGGTATGTATATATACCTCGAGTCATTTCCCAAGTGCATGCACTGCACACCGAAGAAGAAGAAGAAGAAAAAGAATAAATACGGAATGGAGAAAACACACGAAGAGGGTGAAATGAGCGAGCGAGCAAGAGATAGAAACAAATGGCACACAAATTCCATCGGCACACCGAGTGGAAGGAAATCAGCTAGCAAATATTGCTTAATAGTCAGATGTTGTCAAGAAGAATGTTCACAACTTATTACTATTTGTTCGGCAGTTCCGATTGTAAGCTTTCGGGTTCTATTTTCAGCCGTCTCTGCTTATTGCCTGGCACCATTTGATTCAATTATATATGTTTTCTGTGAAATTGCATGAATAATTTCGGCATTTGACACACAAACACTACCACTACCATCACCATCGCCGTCACCACTACCATCGCCATACATCATTCGATTCGAAATACGCATTTCAACACAAAAGATTCTCGAAAATTAAAGAAACAACGTAAAACCACCTCCAAGAAACACAAATACACACGAAACTTAGTTTATTTTTGTTGTTGTTGTTGCTTGGTCAAAAAGCGGCCAGATGTACACGATTTGCTCAAATAAAATTACCAACAATCAAACGAGGAATGAGTAAAAAGAAAGCACCCATACAACAAATACGAATGACTTGACATAGGCACGGACATAAACATAGATATCGTTTCGGCACATAAAATAAAATTCGACAATGTGTATTGTGAAAAGTTTATTAGTTAGCAAAATAAGCACGGTTTTGACCACCACCACAATCACCGACAACAACGACGACGACGACGACGGAAAAAAGGTTATTTCATTAAAAATTGACATATAAATTTATTTCTCTTGTTTATTTCCCTAGTTACCTGACAACTGTATCGTCGCATGCAACCTCTACCTCTCGCTTAGTACAAAAACTCGCTCTCTCTTGATTGAGTGCGCGCTCACCCGCTGCGGGCAATATTGCTTCGAAATTGCCGAAAGAATATGTTTTTTTTTTCGCCTGATAAAAATATACAATATTTACTTTCGTTCGCGCTCATCAGGCACACATTCACTTTCTTTGTTTTTCTCTATTTCTATTCAGCTCATAAATTTTCACTTGAAACGTCTAAAGCATACCAGAATGCATTCTGGCGCTTGACCAATTTTTCCGATTCTCCCGCAAATGTTTATCATTTTCCACATTTCACCGCAAATATTTCAGCCATTTTCAATTACATACTCTAAAATTCATTTGTCTAATTCTACAAATTCATACGATGCTTATGACTTGGTTCTTCTTCTTCTTCTTCTTCTTTTTCTTTTGGTTGCAGAGAATGTATTTTTCGTTTGTTTTATTCGGAGTTTTTTTGGCCGAGAAGCGTTTTTACATTCAAAATTCTTGCCCATGGATTTGTTATGATGAAAATGGGCTAGCTGATGACTTTTATCATTAAAAGCTTTTTAACTCATATCCATTTTAAGTTGGCCTAATACATTGAAGAGACTGTTTAATCTTTAATTGCACAAAGTTATGCAAAGCGATAGAAAACCAGCGAAAATAGCCAATTATTTTAATTTCGCGGCGGCGGTTTTATGGAGATTCACATTTCAATATCAAATGGATGCAAGTTTAAAGATCATGGAAGCCGATTCAATTTGATTAAATAATTGGAATTTCAACCATTTTTCTCAATATTGTTTTCGATCTATTGCCCGCATTCCATCCATCGTCCACTCATTAATTTTGTTAGTTTCACATAACTCAAAATACCAACAGCTCAAATATGTTGAATGACGGATAAAATATTTAAGACAAACAATTTATCGATTTCATTAAACCGATAAAGCCCATTTCAATGTCCTCTTTTCTCACAATTTACTCTCTGTTGGCTTGGCTCGCTGGCTGCTGTTCTATCGCTCGTTCTCTCTTTCTTTCTTGGATTGGTTGATATTCCGACGAAATAAAAATTGATTATGTCTGCATGACAATTTCAACGCTTTTTTTCATTGTCGTGGCACTCGGCTGAAATCGATTGGAATTTGTGGTAATTGGTTAGACGATTTCAATAATCTCAATACATTTTTTATTATGACGACACAAAGAAAAGAAAAGAGAAGAGGAGATAAGAGGCGAGAAAACGAATCGACTGAATCGAACAACGAAAGATGTAAACACGAATAAATATTTGCTTTTTGAATGGTATGAAATTGTACTTGATGAAATATTTAACACGATTCAATTGAAGAGAAGCGGAAAAGGCTTCTTTGCTTCCCAAAAACGAATGCCGTACGGTGTCGGTGATTGAATTTTTTCTTCTTCCGGTTTTGGTTTATGCATCAAAATAACGATAGATTTCTGAATAGAAATTGTTAAAGAAAAAAAATTGTGCAAACTTGTTGTAAGAAAAAATCCTCTGATTCGTAGGGAATTTAATAAATTCGGGCAGGTTTTATCAACTGTCATAAAATCGGTTGCGCATCGGGGAAAATTTCGAAACATTGAGGAAATTTGTATGAAGAGCGAAAATACCTATAAAATCGAAATATAAACACTTAAAATAGAAACAAAGCTTACAACGCCCCAAAAAAAAACATACACACACACACATATATATATATACACAAACACTCAGTCAGTTGGTGGCGTGCTCTCTTGTCCTATTCTCGGCTGCAGTGAGACACACAGCAGCTGAATAAAAAATGGAGAGAGAGACGTAAATAGAAGAGAAAAAAAGAACACATCGAGAGAGGGGGAGAGAACGGGAGAGTTTGTGTTGAGCGCGCTCAAGGTCGTGGCTCTTGAAAAGCGATAAACAATGGCAAAAGGTTATAGAGAAATTTGGTTTCGGTGTGTTCGACATCGAAGCAAATATTTAAATTGAGTTTTCGAGAGTTCTTCAAGACAACGTTATTCCTTTTTTCTTCTTCTCTCGGTTTTCTTTTCCGAATGCAAACTTATGATTTGAGCTCTGTTCTGCTCGCTAAATGTGATATAGAATGAGAGTGATAAGAGATAGATAGCAGCTCAGATTTCAATTATAAAAAAAATCAGGCAATAATTTTTCAAGTGCACGCCAAGAGCGATTGTGATGCATGATAATTGGAAGAAATATTAAAGATACAACAGAGAAAGGTAGAGAGGTGGGGAGATACAGAGCCAGCGCCAGAATATAAATTAAAAAACAAAAGCAAATTGATAATCTAACGAGCGAAGCAAAGAATTTGCAAGTGGAGCTCGCGTACATTCGGTCGGAAGGAAGACGACAGCTAAGATGAGTATACATAATAAATTGGTTGTAAAATGTTCATATTTTTGCAGTTTTGAAATAAAATACGCTCGTATATGCAAGTTGAGAGAGAGATAGAGTGAGCGGTGGAAGTGAGTCAACAACGCATTTGCTTTAGTGGCGCACACAATTTGGTTTATGTGGAGGATTGTTTTTCGTCGTCGTCATCGTTGTTGTCGGCGGTGGCGGCGGCGGCGACGGCATAGTGTGTGCATGGTATATGTGTCGTACACACCAAACTCTGTTAAGTAGTTAGGTGAATGGAATTAATTGTTTTAGTTGGAATACAAAAAGTGTAGCGACAACGGACGGCGAAGTGGAATGGTAAGTGGCAAGCGATAGGATGGGATTGGGGTGTCGTAATGAGAGTGAGAGAAAGTTGTTGAGGCAATCGTAATGACCGTGCTCGTGTTGAATGGCATAAACGCATGCAAAACCTTCCGTACGTTCTTTATTTATCATTGAGCTATTTTAAGTCGGCGACTCTCGAAATCAATGGAAAAACTTAAACCAACCACCTTCTCAGCTCTTTTCTTTCAATGCAGGATGAGACATACACTCACGCAGACACACACAATCGTTGCTAAAGCTTGGTTAGAGTAAGTTTTTTGTGCTACAAATGAAAAACTTATTACCAACTAAAAATCTACCCCTTTTCCGTTTAAGCTATTTGCAATTTCATTAAAAATTGTGTGCAAATTGAATGAGAGTGCAAGGGAGCGAGGGAACGAGGGAACGAGAGAGAGAGAGAGGCATAGAAAGAGACAGATAGAGCAAGAGAACTACTTTAAGTTGGCCCGTATTTTCAAGACGATTTTCTTGTTCGTCAATTAAATTAAATTAAATTAAATTAAGGTAGACTTTTGGGATTTTCTTGTACAACGCATACAGGAGCGAAGAGATAAAGATTGAGAGAGGGACACAGCCAGAGAAATAGATAGAGAGTGAGCGCCTCACTTGGTCTAATCAAATGAATTAAGAAAATATTATATATCTATTGACTAGATCGAGAGGAGAGTAAGTTCATCTGACTTTGTTATGAAAGAGAAGAGTAAGTTTCTTTCACTCAAAAATGGTTAAAGGCGAGTATGTTCATTTTTGGCGGGTCCTCGTGGTTTTCCATGGTTTCCGCGGAACTGCTAAGAGATAACAACTTGGTGTCTTCGGCAAAGTTGTAGCACTCGAGGTCTTCTATAACACTGCTGAAGTCAAATATCTCTTATCACTTATCAGTTCCACGAAAAGCGCGAAAAATGATAAGAAAAAAAAAGTTCTATATAAAATTTGCTTTTTTATGCGCGCGATTTGCGCGCAACTGATAAGAGATAAGAGATAGATGTCTTCAGCAATGTTATAGAAAACCTCGAGTACTACAACTTTGCCGAAGACACCATGTTGTTATCTTTTATCAGTTCCGCGAAAACCGTGAAAAACCGCGGAGGCTAGACGGGATGCTAACATACTTCCTTTTAACGCAGATAGAATCAACAGAAATCATACTCTCCTCTTTCAAAATATATTGGAATTTTTTCACATACTCTCCTCTCGATCTAGTCAATAGATATGAAATGTCTCAAGTAATTC